AAACAAAAATCATATCTAAAAATCCCTAAGCCTTTGATACTTGGATCTGAAACTTGGATCTCAGAGCAGAACATGTAAGAAACCTAATAAAAATTCTAGTCCGGGCAATAAGACATGCAGTTAAGAATACTGTTCAAATCTTTTCAAATGCTATTAACAAAAATTCCTACTTACCTACAATGTTAAAAATTAGATTTACTTGGCTGAAAATCCTTCCTCTTAATAAAATTGGCCTGTATTTTATGATTCTATACAGAAGCATCCATGAACAATGGATAGGTAGGGTGACTGGAGTCCCCTCTGCTGAATGTTAGATATTGGTGGAATGTGCTGGGGTGTCAACCAGGTTTGCTATCTTATTTTCTTTTTCTTCTGTTCTAGTTTGTTTTTTGGTATTTCTTATTATATTTTTGTTGCATTGTGAGCCACCCAGAATTGTTTACAGTTGGGCAGCACCAAACTGAATTAAATAAACAAACAAACAAATAAATAAATGAAAAAGCATGAAGATAATGCCCTCCCTAGCCTCCTCCATGGATCAATGAAGGTAAAAGCATGTGTGGTTTAGCGGGGAGGGGGCAGAAAGGATAGTCTGAGCATCATACTAAATTTCCTTCTGTGAAATTTTTCGGTACCTTGTGGGAGCAACTTATGTTTTCTACCATTTAAGACTGTAACCTAATTTCTGTTTTATACTGATTCAAGAGAAAGTTGCTTGCTCTCATAGATTAGGGCATTCTCATCAGCCATTTTGTAACAATGCAATCCTCATGGTAGTCCTTTTGTGTTGGCACTAAAATTGTATGTAATAAAGACTCAGATTATCAGTAAAGGCTTATTATATCTATGTCTTAAAATTAAAAGGAATACTATACCTTGTAGAGGCAACGTCTGGAGGGGTACAATGGAATTGAAATGTGTGAAAGTAATGTTGGGCTGTATTTGAAACGCAGACTGCATAGGCAAATGGAGGTGCCAAAGGTTACCAAGAGAAAGCACTCTGAAATTTGGCTCAAATTTCTGAATAATATTCCTTACAATCATCTCATCAACACCAGATTCAAATTTAGGCATCTTGGAGTAATTTCTCTTACCTGAGTGTGAAAGTTTGAAATGGTGGTTGTTTCAATATCTTTCTTGCCAAGGATTTCCATTTTCACTGGAGTGCTGGGAAAATTGAAAGCAAAGTAATCCAAGAAGTCCGGCAAGTATGCAGCTGCCCCATGAACTATAGCTAGAGCATAATAAGCTGCATTTTTCTCATTTTCACTGAATGTCAAAGCAAGAAACTCTTCTGCAAATCTCTCCATCTCCACTGGAGACAAAAATGAGAGTTCATCCATATAGGCATGAAGAACCAGAGCTCCTCCATTTGATTGATGTTCTTCATGAATAAAATTACTAAATTTAGTGCCTGTTTTTAAGAAGCTGTTGCGAACAGAATGCTCCTGGTGGGTAGTAAATGGAGACTGTACCCCCTGGGGTATCCTATATTCCTGCATGCCCACATTCAACTGACACAGCTGTTCATCTTTTAGATACCTAAAAGATTCCTTGTTCTCTTCCAAATTATCACTCTCCCCTGGAGTCAAAGTCTCTTTGCTGATACGGGTAAGACCAGCACACACCGTCTGTACTTCTTTGTTGTACATTTTCAGATGCCTCCCTCTCATGTCTTCTCTGTGTTTCTTTTTCTTCTTCTTCTTTATTTTCTTTACAATAAGACTGTCAGATCTTTCTGTCTTGCCATTTTCATCTCGGGTTTCTAAAAGTAGTAAGAAAATAAGATATTTATGTTGCAAAAAAAGTATCAGATAAAATTATGTATTTTTTCAATGATGCATCAGTTCTTCACTGAAAAATGTTAATATAAAGGTTTACTTTTAAAAATTTACTACTGTTATAAGAAAATGCTTCTTAATAGTGCTGCTTTATCATTAGTACTCCTGCAGGTCATCTGTGCAACAAAACAGTTCAAGGAGAATGAGTATACTTATCTTTCTATAAACCATTACATTAATACATTAAGCTTATTTGTGAATTATCTGCATGAATATTATGTGAATGCTGCAAAATTCAAGGAAATAAGCTCAGTTTTCATTACATGCACAATGTCTACAGGTTTCAAATTTTTGTTTAGTACAGGTGGCAGCAATGGATTAATATGAAGCACAGTCCAAACCAGACAGACATCCTCTTAATGTATAGGATAACAGAATATTCTTGCTTGTCCCAAAGATGGTTACATAATAACCAATTATAACTCTGGACATCATAAACTAGATTAAACCTGGACTTATTTATATTATTTTTATTGATATTATATATTAACCCTTTCTGATGCCTCTCTCTGAGGACTTCAGCTAAAAGTGAAGATGAAGATACTTGTCTTCTTAATTAGAGTAAGTGCAATTGGAAGGCAGAAGGTTTTCCAGGACAGGAGTCCAAAATCAGTGAGTAAGAATGTATATCTACATGTATACTCCAATTTGGTAGAAATACAGCTACTGTAGGTGAGCAATGCCTGTTCAAAATTCAGAGAAGTGACTGGATAAAGAATTCCAACATGTTTAATGACCACACATGATTTGCTTAACAACCGGATCCCAAAGAATCAATATCCCATCTATCTCTTTGCCTCTTCCTCACAACTGAAAAATATTAAGCACAGTTAATTTGTATAACATATATTACAATGCAAACCTTCAGTATACAAAGGATAGGAGGATAGTAAAGTCCAGACTGAACATAGCAAAACGAACTGGCTCCAGGTCAGCAAAGGAGTGAGACAAAGCTATATACTCTCTCCCATATACTGAAAATATATCGATGAGGCTGGATTAGAAGATGATGAGTGTGGTTTTAAAACTGGAAGAAGAAACACCAATAATGTATACTACTATGATAACTAAAAATGTGAATGATCCTCAAGTTCTAATATAGTTAGTCCTTGCTTAGTAACCACTCATTCAGTGACCATTCGAAGTTACAATGGTGTTGAACAAGGAAACTTATGACCAGTCCTTGACACTGCAGCCACTGCAGCATCCCCATGGTCACATCATTTTAATTTGGACACTTGGCAACCGGTGCACAATTACAATGATTGCAGCGTCCCACCGTCACACGATCGCCATTTGCAACCTTCACTGCCGGCTTCCAACAAGCAAAGTCAATGGGGAAGCTGACAGGAAGTCTCGAATTGTGGTCATGTGACAACATGTTTAATGACCACACATGATTTGCTTAACAACTGGAACTGCTATCATAAGTCAGTCACATGATTTTCACTTTACACACATCACTTAGCAACAGAGTTGCCGGTCCCAATTATGGTTGTTAACTGAGGACCACCTGTAATGAAAATCAAGGACCACAGTGAAAAAATGGGACCACAGTTAAATATAACTAAGACCAAACTAATAACAACAGGTACTGCAAACACCCTAAGAACTGCTAATGAAAACACTTAAGTGGTGGATAGCTTCTTCCACTTAGCATTATCTCCAGTAAAGGAACAGAGTCAAGAAATATGCCACAGACCAGCACTTGGTAGAACAGAAATGAAGGCCTTGGAAAAAATATTCAGATGCCATGAAGTATCTATACTAAAAAGATCAGAAACATGCAGGCAATGTTTTCTTGTGATGCTATATGGTAGTAAAAGTGGACTTTAAAGAAGCAAGGATACAAAGAATACACCTTTGAGCTTTGGTGTTAGAGAAAACTCTTGACATGGACAACCAAGAAAACAAAATAATGGATCATACAACAAATCAATCCAAAGTTCTTACTCAAGTCACAAATGATCAGACTCAAATTTTTATATTTTAGACCCAGTGTGCAAAGACCCAGCTGCCTTGATTAGTCCATAATGCTGGAAAAAGTGGAAAGAAAGAGGAAGAGGATGACCAACAGCATGGATGGACTCAATTTCAGTGGGAATGGGTGCACCATTAGAAAACCTGAAGGGCCAGACTGGGAAAAGATCATCTTTAAGATCTACCTATATGGCCAGTAAGAGTTAACAATGATTTGATGTCACATAATCAATGTGTCAGAAAACTAATCTTTTCATAGCAAAAAGCTAAAGGACAGATTTATATCCTATCCCTCAACTCAATTCTAAAGCAGCACCAAAATCTTTGAAAACACGCATACAAAAGCATAAAACAAATAATTAAAGCATGAAAACACTTTGACATTAAACATTCTGAAAAACATTATCATTAGATTTATATCCCACCTTTCTTTCAGTATCTCAGTGGTGCACTCTCTCTTCTAATTTCTCCTCACAACAACCCTGAGAGATAAGTAGGGCTGTGAGATAGTGATTGGCCAAAAATCACCTAGTAAATTCTATGGCTCCAATCTGATTTGGACTAAGACTCAGGAGTTCTAGATTCAATAATTTAATGATGATACTATACACATGCAATGTGAGATAATTCTTCACTAGAAAAAGCTTCCTGAAGATAGGGCATATCAAGAACATCTTTTGTCCTCATACCACATACTTCATTTCAGATAGTTGGAACACATAATTTATTTTGAGTGCTCTATGGTAGAAGTTTTCAAGGCTGGGGAAACTTGGAGGGGAATCACCTTCATAAGGAAAGCAGGAGCACTTTTAGAACTCACTCTGAATCTGTTCTCCATTTTGCCCTCAGAAGTCCACAGTGCTGGTAATACAGTTACAATACTACAAAGTTTAAGAAGCCCTGATGAAATAATTATTTTTTTATTCATGAGGGGATCACACAAGTTCATTTATCATTTTAGGAGATCACAATACAAAGTTTGAGAACTCCTGTCCTATGGATATAAAGGTGCAATAGAAAAATGAATAAGCATTCCAATAAATAATTCTCTAATTCAGTATTCCCATATAAATTTTCCAACAGCACCTAGTGATACATTTTTAATAGACAAAGTTGGGTAGACTGAAAACTCTCTTGAAGTCTCAATTTAGTTACAGAGCCATTAGAAAACTCATCCGTGCTTTTGTGTGTAATTTACAATTTCAAGGAGTAGGGTGATTCATGCATTAAATTTGGGGTTACATGTTTTCTGTTCTGTAACAGCCTTATTGGTAGCCATATTTTTAATCAACAAACAAATTCATCCATCCCCATCCCCAAGTAGTTATGAAAATAAGACAACTACAAAAAAGACTAACTGGTTATAATACCTGCATGAGATCTGACAGAGCCCTCTAGTTTGTGTTTTGCAACTGTCACTCTATTAGCTTCATGGTACTACAGCCCTCTTGGTGGTTCTCTCTGTCTCATTTCAGAGACTCAAGACTGAGACAGTCTGCAATCAGCCTTGTGGTGGAGAGGCCAAGGCTGATGTGACTTACATCATGGCTGCTGGCAGCCAAAATGTAAGGATCTGGACTGTGTTGGAATGTGGGCTGGGTGAGATGGACTTGCCAGCTGCCCTTGATTAAGGGTGGGGGTGGGGGGAGAGATATAAACCTTCCCTTGCAGCCCAGATGAGAATGGGGTAGCAGGGGGCAGAGTTAGAGTGGAGTGGGATGTGTGATCTGGGTGATGTGGGATGGTGGCACTGCCCAGATAGAGGCACTGTGTGTTTGTCTAAAGTGCCAGTAATCTGGTTGGGGCTTCCATATCCCTGTTTGGTTGAGTTTCACTGATATATCCCCTTTGCTTGGGGGGCAGGGGATGAGACAGCAGAGTGTTGGAATTGGATTATAATGGGGAGGTATGGCAGGGGCAGTATTGTGATGCTAGGCCACCCACAGGGAAAGCAGCCTCAGTGTCTAAAACAAATACTGCATTCTGGACCTGGGACTCAGTCCCGAGACCTGCTCTCTGGAACTTCAGTAGCCTTGCTCTCTGGCTGTTACTGGTTAATGCTAGGTCAGCCTGTAATAAAGCTACTTTATCCATGACTCGACGGTAGATACAAGAACCAACTTGGCATGTATCACCAAAATGTGGTTGGGCACTGGGGGAGGGGGAAGATTCCCTCTCAAAAATGTGCCCTCCTGGATTTTGGTTGTGGCACCAGCTACAATCCTGGGATAGGACTGGGGAAGTTATATCCAGGACTTTCTGGTTGCCTTTCTGGGTGCTGCCCCAGACAGCCAGATATGAGACCCTCTTTGTGAGATTGGGCCACAGGGATTAGGTAGGACTGCTGCACACTTACCTTCCCCCTTGCAGTGCAGCAGCATCCCTGCCCAAGCTCCTTGATTCTGTAGCCAAGTAGAGTTCCCCAGCCCTCTCTGGGTCCAGAGTCAGAGGTAGCCAAGGAGTTCATGGCCACATGGCAACCATGGACCTTAGATTTGTTTTTTTGTCTCAGGGCAGTGGTGTGGTTATCTTGGGTTGGGAGATGTTGATATTATTCCCTTGTCATGGACAGATCACACCCTTTTGGTCCTGGGGTTCTCTGTGGTTGTCCCCCACTGCAGAGAGATAGGGCCTATTTGATTGGCCTGTCCCAGATGACTGATGGACCCATTGTGGTTTCAGAAGGAGTGTGCGGTTTTTCCCAAAACTCTGGCACATGGTTCAGCTGAGGCCTTAGTTGCAGCTTGCAATGAGCATGTGGAAGGACCCTTAGATCAAATGGCATCTGTGTGGACTCACTGTGGTTGCGGATCTTGTAGAGCTCCTCAGTTCACTGTGGAGCTCCAAGAGATGTCATGAGACAAAAGATTCCCAGTGATGGAGCAAAGTCGACCAGATACAGGTAAAACCCTTTACAGATACTGACTTACAGTGGGGCAAAAAA